CAACCAGATGCCCCTGGGGCCCTATGTGACCGGTAGGTGCCCGTCTGCTTCCGGGCAGCATGTACAGGGGCTCCCCGCGGGCCCCGCCTGCCCAGCACCGCCCTTGGCAAGCCGAGGTTTTCTCTCTTTCTACAGATATCTAGCCGTCCCCGTGACTTCCCTCTGTTGCAGCGCTCATTTCCAGCCGAGGTAAGGCCACCTGTGGATGCCCCAGTGTCCCTTGTCCCTTCCTTGGCTCGGCAAGTCAGGCCCGGTCCATGTGTTTGATTCTCGCCCCGAGCCTTGTGGTCGTCGCTGCCCTGTCAGGCCCCGAGGGTCTCACGCATTTGCCTGGAGCCCTTTGCCCCAAGTCCCTCCACCCTGGGGACTGTTTTAGGGCCAGCGTGTCTTTCCAGGCTTCTGGATACTTCCCTGCAAGTCTGGGCAGCGGGGCACGAAGGGCGGGTGCACTCGGGCATGCCCCTGTGTGGACATGTCCACGGCGGTGGGTCAGAGGCCATGGCCCCCAGCTGGCAACACTGCCTCCCTGTCCTGCTGGGCAGCGCGGTACCCCAGGACATCACCTCTTGTCTCATCCCAGTCCCTGCCCAGGACCAGGAGGGTGGCTCAGGGTTGGGGGGCGGTGAGTGTTCATGGCTAGGAGAGGGGATCTTATTTTGGAGGAACGGCCAGTTCACCTTGGCCCCCACCAAGCCCTGTCTGGCACTTGAACGTGGAGGTACAGGAGGGGAGGCTGTTTCCAGACTGGCTGCCCCGCAGGCTGCCACCTCTGGGGCGCTCTCCGGCACTCTGGGTATGGCTGGGAGGGCGTGGCTAGGGGGCCCCCCTCTGATTGCAGCTGCCTGTGACATGCAGTGGGTGAGGTGGCTCCAGGGTGTGGGGTGCTCCCCGCAGTGGGGACCTGACCGCCCCCCTGCGTAACTGTGACCTGCTTCTTGCAGCCACGCCTGCCGGGTCACTTGCCTGACCCCCACGGGAGAGAAAAGCCTTTTTAGGAGTCGTTGCCACCTTGGGACAGAAAGGGAATGCCATCACCTGGGGGACGGGGTCCAGCCTGGCGGGGCCGGAGCCTGGAAGTGCCACCTCATCATAACCCAAGCGCTCCACACAGCGTCATAGCCACACCACGCGGCCTCTGGGGCCACCTTTGCCAGAACGACTTCCTGGAGGAGATTTCATTTATTTGTCCATCTTTTGCACTTTCCTATTGAAGACTTGAACAAGTTCGTCTTGATAAAGTTAAGTATATACGGAGGAGACTAACCTGCAGTGCCATGTCTGTGTGTCCACGGGCTCCCGACAGGAGGGAAGTTCCCGGAAGCCCTGCTGTTGCCATGCACTCGGCCCGGCAGGGAGGAGGCAGTGCCCGCCCCGGAGCCCTCGCTGTGCCCCCACCCATCCAGCCTTGTGTGCACTGCCTGACTGCCCTCTGCTCTGACCCCTGTCTGCGTGGGGCCCCCACGGCCAGCTGGGTCAGGCAGGGCAGCTGCCCGGTCCAGTGGCGGAGACCTGGCTGATGTCCGGGTCAGGGCAGAGCGTTGATTCTACCCCCTTCCTGCCAGGGCTGGAGATCACCAGGTGTGTGTGGTCTCCTTGGGGAGGGGGCTCTGTTGGCACCAGCGTAGGGCCTGTGGCAGGCCCAGGTGTGCTCCCGGGAGTGGGGGGGCGAGGCCTGTGCGTGTGGGCTGCATAGGGGCTGTGAGACCTTCACTTTGGCCTCTGCTGGGTGGGTTATGGACAGGTGGCTGTTAGCATCCCAGCAGAGAGGTCACGGCAGCACTGAAGGTGGCCCAGTAGCCCCTGGCCCTGCCCTGTGCCCTTGGGGGTCCATCACACCCACCTCCAGGTACACTCTCCCCCGTGTGGTCTCATGGGCTGCAGACATGGAGAGAGCAGGCCACTTCCTGGAGCCTGGACTTATGCCTGCCTGTCTGTGGAGAGGCCTCGATCTAGGCACTTGCCACCCAGGGCAGGACTGTAGCTGCCCTCGCTGTGCCTTGGGGAGAGCTCTGGCTGGAGGCCGGGGACTGGACCTGATGGCCCCTCCAGGCCTCCCTGACACAGCATCCAGGCTTCCTGTCTGGAGTCTGGCCAGGAACACGGGTCTTGGCATCCTCCACCCAGCTGGTGGTACCCTGTAATGGCCCCAGGTGTGGGGGTGGGGAGAGCGGGCCAGGCCTGGGCCCGTGTCCGATGCTCCCTCTGGCCCCAGCTCAGCCTGGAAGGGATTTCCGAGTCTTGGGCTTCCTGGGGGATGCTCAGAATAAGGATCCTGTTTGAGTGACAGGCAAGCTGGGCCTGGGGTTGGAGGTGCCAAGAGGGGCTTGGGCTCAGCTCCCCAGGCCAGGACTGGAGCCAGGATTTGGCGGCTCATCTTGGGACAGTTGGGCGATTGGCCGGCCCTCATAGAGCCCCAGATCTCCTCATCTGTAAATGGCTCTTTCTGAACCCTGGAGGGCTGGACCCCCAAGGCCCCTTCCATCTTGGTGGTCCCACACCCCATCTTGTTAAAAACCTCCAACGCCAACCCAGCCCTGGCATTGAGTGTGGGTAGAGTGGGGAGTATCTTGGAAGTGGCCTGCAAGTTTCCGGGACACACATGCAGCAGTGGCTGACCCCACCTTCCGGGAATGGTGGGGTCATTCCAATCCATGCAGTTCACGTGCATGTGTGTCTTCCAGTCAGTGCCTCCCTACAAAGGCTCCTGGCTCAGGTCACAGGCGAGGTGACTGCCGCGAGCCCCCCTTCACCCAGGGCCCTGAGATGCCGCCCTCCCAGATGGCTGTCAGCCCTGTGCTTGGTCTTGTTGGGAACAGTGCCAGCTTCCTCTGGCCACAGTGGACAGTCTCGTGTCAGACTGGGAGGCACATAGCAGGGACAGGGGTCTGCGTCTCCACTGCTCCCATCCAGGGGCCCATAGTCCCTCCCCTTTCAGCCCGTCCTCCCCAGGGAGCCTTCCTCTGTCCCTGCCTTCCCTATGCCCGGCCCAGGCCTTGCCAGGCTCCCCTTTGCCCTTCTCACCATGCCAGAGCCAGGCACCCACTGACGGCCCGGCCCCCGGCACTGCTGGTCCCAGGAAGGGTTCTGCCCTCTACCACCAGCACCCCGGAGGCCCAGGAAGGGGGTGCTGTGGACATAGTTGGGGAGCGGGTTTCTGGTTGACTGGGAGAGGAAAAAGGATCTTAAGAATGTTTTCTTCTTAGTTTATCAGTTATCTCCCACCGGAAGTGGTGGGTAGGGAGTGTCCCGTCTTTGGCATTTTCAGGCCGGATTTGGTTTTTGCTGCTGGCAGAATCCCAAAGCGCCAGCCTGCAGTTTTGTTTGCAGCCACCTTATTATTATTTAAACCAGTGCCAAGTAGGCTTTCAACCACCTTTGGGCCCCGGTCTCTGAAAGCATCACCTGCCGGGCTCCCAGGTGACGAGGGGAGTTTGGGTTGGGCTGACCGTGACCAGCGGGCATGTGGGACGCCCGACAGCCACTCGCACGTGAAGCACATCCCGACTCGGTGTGAAGAGACCGCCCTGCAAGCCACCTTCTGAACCTCCTTTGTTTTCTACAAATTATGACCGAGGTCCTGCTGACGCCCACAGCTGGGGCAGGCGCCACCATCCTGCTTGTTGGGGCCCCTTCCCAGGGTTCTCTGGGGATCCCCTGCTCAGGTCGGGGGCTTGCCCCGGGGACACGGGTAGTCCTGGTTCCCAGGTGTTGGGTACCAGGGCTCTTGTGTAGAGGGTGGGCTCAGGGACGTGGGAGCAGGCAGCCCCTAGTGGCGGCAGGGGCAGGGCCTTGGGCGGGATGCAGGGGCTGAGGTCTTGGCCTGGCCGTGGCCTAGGGTCCCCCCACAGCACCTGTGCCCTCCATCGAGGGAGCCGACTCCAGCCCGATTTTATATTTCGGGACATTTACAGGTTGTGGTATATCAGCCCAAAGTCATTGGCGTTGTGTTTTGGATTTCTTCCTTAGTTTTCAGATTTTTTTTTTAAACAAAGTATTTTTTTAGGTACAATAACCCAGAAAGGGCCCGTTGGGTGTGTGCGTGTGTCCTGAACCCCTGACATCAAGATAGGCGCCTGAGCCCCTGAGCCTGGAGATGAGGGAAGGGTCCCACTCCCCGCGCATCAGAGTGGAGATGTTAAGGCGCAGACCCCCACCCAGGTGGCATCTGGCCCAGCTGAGGGGCCGGGTCCCTCGCCCTGGGATAGCCCCAGGTCAGCCAAGAGGCTGGGGACACTTCCAGCCAGTTGGAGGGTCCCCGGAGGGAGGGTCCCAGCTGGGAGTGGGGCTGAGCTTTGGAAGCTGAGCCCCTGTAAGTGGTGACCTGTCCCCTCGGGAAGACACTGGGACGTTCGACAGAGCCTGTCGCTGACAGACCCCCTCACTTTGTACTCTGTGTGTATGTCTTGGTTTTCTGTGTTTTAATAAATCCTTTGGGAAAGGACTGAATCAGTGTTTTCCTGAGATTCTCACTGATCTAGGAAGGGGGAGGGCTGGGGGCAGGGGAGGATGTGGGGGTAATGGGGTGTCGCCCGAAGCCACCTCTCACCAAGACCTAGCTGCATGGGGCTGAGGGGCTTGCTGGGAAGGAATGACACCCCAAGAAGGGGTGGTGCCTCCCCTTCCCACCTGCACCCCTGAATATACACCCCATCGCATCAAACACTGAGCCCCCAGTGACAGCCTGCAGCCCTCCTCAGACCCCGACCTCTGTCCCCAGAGGGCACAGCAGCCTCCCAGCAACTAGTGTGTGTGTGTGTTGGGGGCACCTCCATTCCGAATGGAGAGATGAGGGGGTCTTGTTCCTCGATCTCTGCCTCTCCTCCAGGGCCCATTTCTCCCAACCCACCATTGGCTCCAGGGTCAGGATTTGGTGGCGGCGGTGGCGGGGGCTCTAACCTGCTGAGTGGTGGCAGCCTTCTCCCCGTCCCGCCACTGCCCTCCCCGCAGCCCTGACCTGGAGCAGTGCGCCCCCCTGGGAAGGAGAGGAGCAGAGAGCCGAGGACCCTACGGGCTTGGGTTTTATTTTGTCATTCCATAAATACGGGCTTGCGTCTCGGCTGAGTGGCATTTGGAAGCGCAAGACGTATGGCAGTCTCGCCTGCAGAGGGAGTGAGTGCAGTTAGCGGAGGAATCAGTCATTAAAAAAAGGGAGAGAGAGAAGCACATATTTACAAGACTGGAAAAGAACAGAAGGCGAGCGAGGCCTGTGCCGCTCTTGGGGACCTTGGATTTGACCACGGATGTGGGATGAGCGATGGTGGGGGCTCCGTGTGTCCTTAACAAGAAAGACTGACCCTAGCCCTGCCCCCAGACCAGGCCTAGTTCCAGCGTAGGGCACTCCTGAGGGACCCAGGGCAGATTCGGCTTCAAGGGGAGGAGGAGGGGCTAGGGGAGGGGCTAGGGAGGCCCCGCCTCTCAGGCCCGCCCCTGCCCAGTTCTTTCCTTGTCAGGCTCTGACTGCCCTTCGATGTCCATCCAACTTCCTCTGCCCTACTCCGGCCCCCTCCTAAGTCAGGGGGCCCTCCCCCAGGAAGCAGAGCCCGTCCTCCCTGCAGTGAGTGGAGAACAGGACACCTCAGAGCCAGGCTGAGGACAGTGCCCTAGGGCCAGGGCTGCTGGGGCCTGGCACTGGCCATTTAGGCCTTGGCTGAGCTCAACCTTGGGGACCCTGTTTGGCAAACATGCAGCCAACAGGGGCTCGGCCTTCCTGGGTGTGGCTCCTGGGGGCAGCAGCGCCCACCTCGGGCCCGCGACAAGTCCTGGTCCCTGCTCCAACAGTGGGCGTTCTGGGGGCAGCCGTGTGGAGGGGGCCCAGCCACTCTCCCCAGTGATGGGGGTGCGATTTGGCCCACTGTGTGGTCCTGGGACAAAGTGCCCATGCAGGGCCCTGTCCTCAGGGCAGGACTCTTCCACCCCGGGTGACAGGGAGTGGGTCAGGCACCTCTTTTGGGACAGGTGTTGCCCCCTCCCCACACCCACAGGGTGACGCTTGCAGGAGACTGGGTGGAGAAGACCCCCAAGGGTCTGGTCTGTGAGGAGGGGGGCAGGTTCTAGACTCCGGGGTCAGCACAAAGGTCAGCAGTGGAGAAGGCTGTCCTCCTGACTTTGTGGCTTTCTCAGAGCGGGTCTCCCAGGCTTCAGCCCAGCCAGGACTGAGGGCAGTCCCTCTGAGAATGGCAGGGAGCGTCTCTGGTAACGGCAGCATCTATGAAAGCAGGACCCGCCGTGCCCGCCTCTCAGGGTGAGTGTGAGGGTGTGGGGTGCCCAGGTGGGGCTGGCAGGCGCTGCCTGCCCAGGGCGGGAGGCACACAGGGCCGCCCACAGTGGGCTGGCACATCTGTAGAGCCTGGCTCCTGCCCCCCACATAGCCAGCAAAGGCTGGGGTACCTCTCAGGACCACAGGGGCAGGGCTCCTGGCTGCAGATCTCCCCGCCCGCCCCAGGCTGGGGCTGCAAAGGGGCTGACGGTTCTGTTTGTCCTGCCTGCCTCCCTGTCCCCAATCTGTTCCAGGCCGGGGGGTAGCATAAAAGGGAATGACCAACCCCAGCCATCCCCACTTTTCACAGGGTGTGGGGAGTCCCAGGGGCGGCACCGCTGCCCATCTGTCCAGGTCATAAGCTCTGAGCACATAGACACTTAGCAGCCCAAGACGGAACACCCCAGCCTCACCCAATCGGAGGCCTTGCAGGGGGCACCTCTTCAAGGAGAGGCTCCTGGCATCTTTTCCTACATTGCGGGGGCTGCTGCTAGGTGTCAGGTCTCCCAGCCCTGGGCACACAGTGCAGAAGACCCCAGGGACCCTCTCTCACTGTAAAGATCTCAGCATGTCCTCTCTGCAGACCCAATGCCATCACCCCAGGCAGAGCAGAGGCACCATCCTCCCGCGAGAGTGGTCAGCAGCCACAGTCTAGCTAAGCGTGCACGACCTCAGGGCCTTCTGGGGCACAGATGGGGTAGCAGACTGGGTACCTGGCAGGGAGAGCAGGTGGGGCCCTGGGGAGACCTGGGCTAGAGCCCGCTCCACCAGGCCCCCTGCCAAGTGCTCCGAACCACCCTGGTATGGGGCTCATTGGTTGCGTGTAGGGAGCAAGATAGTGGGGAGATGAGCTTGAAATCAGATCCCCAAACTTTTTGTGGGTCCCAAATTGCAGAGCCAATCCCCCTGGATCCCTGCCCCTGCCAGCAAGGGAGGAGGTAGGGGTCAAGGTACAGCACGGGAGGCGCCTCAGAGGCCCCCTGGGGCAGGTGGCTGTGGACAAGGGGTGGGGGAAGCATCTGAGGTCAGGCCCGTTGGGAAGAACCTGGAGCCCTTGGCCAGAGGGACACCCCCGTGGGGAGGCCCAGCCCCAACGTCCAGGCCCCGCAGAGGGGGCCGCAGAAAGACCAAGACCAGGTGGGGCACCCAGAGGAGTGGCCAGCCCTGCCTGCCCCCAGGCCCCAACTGGCCCGGCCTGGCCTGGACTTGAGGAGTCTCTGAAAAGGGTCGCAGTTGGGAGAAAACATGGTTTCTTCTTGGAGGGTGAGCAGAGGCTGCAGGCTTGGGTGGGACCACTTTACCGTCCTTCTAATAATCAATGTCCCCGCCACGACATAGGTCCCTGGAAGCCACGTGGGTCCCTGGAAGCAGCGGATGGTGCGTTGCAGGGACTTTTGAAACGTTTTCCCGATGACATCATCTCGGTGCCATGTTTTCTTTTTGATGCAAACCACACTCTTGGCTTCAAAACAGCTTAAGCGAGCAGCGAACAGAGAGACTAGGAGAGGAAGGGAAAGTGTCCGGGCCAGCGCGGGGCTTCTTAGGACCGGTAGTCCTTTTTGCTGTAGGGTTTATTGCCCAAAATACTATCGATCTCGTGGATAATGGAAGACGACAGCTTGGGGAGGACCTGTGTGTGAAGACAAGAGCCAATCAGAATTCCACCGAGACGGGCCTGGCCTGGGAGAAGGCAGGGAGCGTTCGTCCAGCCCCGCGGGCCCAGGCCCCTCCTGCCCTTACCACATGGAGCTCCAGCTGGGGCCACACTGCTTTTTTATTCCAGAAGGTTTGGGGCAGACAGGAAGCCTGCCCTGGTTTATAATCTGCCCCTCAAACTCCACAATGCTCCAGAACCTTCTGGAAGGCATAAGAGGCAGACTGCAGGGCCAGACGCCTGATTCCCACACCCCAAAAATACTTTTCCCTGCCTTCTCTACCTCACCCTTTCAGGTGACAAAAACCCAGGGGCCGTCTCTGACTCGCTCTCCGTCAGCCTCACCTCCAGTTTGTCAGCGAGTCCCTTTGGTCCGCCTTCCAAACATCTAGGCTGCACCCACCTCTGCCATCTCCACCTCCCCCCGCCCACTGCCCCGCTGTCACTTCCCAGCACATCTCTGCATCTGCTTCTGCTGCCCAGTCTTCCCTCCACGGTAGCCAGAGAGGGATGCTTTTAAAACTCAAGTCAGACCATGCCTTTTGTCTGCTCAGCATCACACAGGCCCCGTCTCACTCATAATCGTCACCCAGGTCCTCAGACGGTGCGCAGTGTCCTGCGGGGGCCACTCAGCTCCTGTCCCACCCCCCTGCCGGCTCCTGGGACCTTGGATCTTCCGTCAGCTGTTCCTCTGCCTGGAACATTCTTCCCCAAGTGTTTGCACGGCCCAGGCCTCACCCCCCAAGCCTCTGCTCACATGCCCCTTTCTCCCCAAGCCACCCTGACAGCCCCTTCACCCCGGGCCCATGGCGCTACCTCCCCTCGCCCCACCAGACACCCTGACCTTGCTCTAGTGTTCTTCCACAGTGCTTATCTGAAAAATCCTCTAATTCCCTCAATTCTTGAATTTAGCATTTACTGTCTGTTCCGGCTAGAACACCAGCTCCTCCAGGGTGGGGCTCTTTGGGGGCTCACTGATGGAGCCCAGGTGCCTAGGACAGTGCTTGGCACGTAGTAAGTGCTCAACAAATATGAGCTGGACAAACGACTGATGGGTAATGGGGGTCCTGTCAAGGACTCCTGAGTTCTGCTCAAGGGCCTGGGGAGGCTGGCGCCCAGCAGGGACCCCACTCACCTGTATTGCTCCAATGTTCTCCATTAGCTGGTCTGCGCTGGAAGCACCCAGGAGCACGGAACTGACCCCTTCATTCCTCAGGCACCAGGCTGGGGGGCAGCAAGACCACAGGTGAGGGAGATACCCACTGCAGGGTCCCTTTCTGGTTTCGCCCTGCCCCTCACAGGTGTCCAGAGACACCTGGCCTCTTGGGCTGGGAGCTGGGGGTGCCTAGGAGGGGGCTGGCAAACCCGGTGCTCCGTGGTGCTAGGTGGGGGTTGCTGGGGGAGACCTGGCACAGACTGCCCCCGTGTGGAGAGGTGGCCCAAGTCCTCTCCCCTGGGTGTGGGACCCCACTACCCATAGCTGGCTGATGGAGGGGGGGGGCCCAGGCACCAAGGACCCTCCCCGCGAGCCCCGTTACCTATGGCCAGCTGCGGGAGGGTGCAGCCCAGGCGCTCTGCGATGGCCTGTAGCTCCTTCAGCTTGGCCTGTTGGCGTCGACCCTCCTCACTCAGGATCTTGTCCTTTAGCCACTGGTAGCCCTGGTTGGGCGGGGAGAGCGCACAGGTGAGGGCGGGTCACCTGGACCTCTGTATGCAGATGGCTGGTGACGTGTGCTCCTTCCATATTCTTCTCCCCAAACAGCAGCTCTCATCCACACTTAAAGCTAAGGCAGCTCCCCCACCCCCAACACCCCCCCAGCCTAAACATGTCCAGCTGTGGGTGGAGTTGGAGGCATGAGACCCACTGCACTCTGACCCTGGAGTCTGAGGCCGGACAAGGAGGTGGACACGTTCCCAGGAGGCCTAGCGTCCCTGGGAGGTGTGCTGCTGCCTTTGGCCCCGCTCTGGGGATGGGGGGCGTCTCCCAGGGGCAACCTGACCTTTCTGTCAGGGTGGGGAGGGGTTGGGGGGTCAGGCCACCCTGCCCTCGAATCCGGGGCCGGGGGTTCCAGGGCTGGATCTGCCCTGGCCTGGGCAGGCCTTTCTCTGCCTGCTCCTTGTCCCCCAAACCCTGCATTCTGGGGACTTTCCCTGAATCCCTTCCAGATGTGTGGGTGTGTGGGGGGCTTGTCCCAGGGAGTCACCTTTGAGTGACAACTGAAGAGGTCTGCAGCCCCTGGCCCTGAGTTCAGTCCAGAGCTCTCAGTGATGGGCCAGAGTGTGTGAGTGTGAGTGTGTGTGTGCAAGTGTGTGTGTGAATGTGTATGTGTGTGTGTGAATGTGTGAATGTGTGTGAGTGTGTGTGAGTGTGAATGTGTGTGTGTATGTGTGAGTGTGTATGTGTGAGTGTGAGTGTGTATGTGTGTGTGTGAGTGTGTGTGTGAGTGTCCACGGGGGAGGGGTATCCCAAATGGCACATGTGGACCCAGCCCAGGTTGTGAATGCTGAACTCGGGTGGGGGTGGGGAGTGGTGGCGCTTGGAGGGGTACAGAGGCCTCTTATCCTGGGGCATGTCCCCTGGGGTGGGCAGCCTTTCAGCCATGGGCTCAGGCCAGCGGGGGCTCCAAGTTCCCACAGCCTGGAACCACCCAGAAGACAGGGGTCTGCCCAAAGTCCCCTCCCCTCCCCCGGCCACTCCTTTACCTTCAGGGAGGCCCTTGAGTAGGGTGGGATGCCACTGTCGTACTTTCCAGAAACGATGCCGCAGGCCAGAGGGGACCAGGTCATGGCGCCCACTCCTGAGTGAGGAATGCCAGTGGGGGTCAGCCCCGGGTCCTGGGAGGCGGGGGAGAGGGCTGTGCAGGGCGGGGAGCCCACCTATCTTGTGGAAGAGCTCAGGCAGCTGCACCTCCACCTTCTCGCGCTGGAACATGTGGTACTCGGCCTGCTCGCAGATGGGCGGGATGAGATTGAACTGGCGGGCCACGGAGTAGGCCTCCTGTGGGTGCAGAGGGGCTTGACGGTCTCTACCTGGCAGCGGGTCTAGAGGCACCGCGTGGGCAGCAGGGAGGAGACACAGAGGCATCTCCAGGAAGGGCTGGCCAACCTGCCCCTCCCGCTTCTTACAGCTTTCCGGGGAGCCCGTTAGGCCCCACCATGAACCCGGGAAAAGGGGGTGGTGGGTCGTTAGACCCCAAGGCTGAAGGGGTTGAGCGGGGAGCACACCCAGTAGTGAGACTTGGGTTCTGGCATGTTAGTTGGGAGGCTTTGTGCAAGGGGCTCGCCCCTCTGTGCCTCAGTTTCCCCATCTGTCGTGAGGGTCAAATGAGCCAATGGTGTTTACAGCCCTCAGTGCCTACATGGGTGGATATTCAGTGCCTATCATCTGTGCAGTTACTGTTTTGATCACGATGGTCACTCCAGGGCCCTGGACCCGGGAGCAGGGAACGCTGGGTCAGGAGGGAGAGTGGCTGGCATCCACCCATTTCTGGGGCTTGGTGCTCAGGCCTCCACTCCACAGACCGGGTGGGCGCGAGCTAGGGCTGATGCCGGCAGACAGGCCCCTGGGGAAGCCCTGTCCGCCGGCCTGGGGGCCCTTTTCCCTTTAGCTACAGACTCAGCGTCCACATCTGTGAAGTGGGCAGAAGACGCTGCTGGCTCCAGGCAGCTCCAGAAAGATGCCGAATGCACATCAATGCCGCAAATGCCAAAGCTGGTTAGTGCCAGGGCTGCTAGGGTTATGTTGCACTTGAAAACCCTGCTTAATTTCTTTGATGAAGTGGAAAGCTGGAACTCACTCGAGGAGAAACCCCACCGATCCAAGGGGTCCTGGAGGCAAGGGTGGTGGGTCGGCCCCAGAGCGGGGACTGGGAGGACGCAGTCCCCAGGCCTCTGTCCCCCCTTCTCCCACCCCCACCCCAGGTGCCTGCCTCTGAGGAGCACACAGCCACCCTGCTGGTCCTGCTGGGACACTCCAGAAACATCAAGAAGCATCTGCTGCCCTCGGCCTCTAATGGCTCCCATGGAGGGAAATGACAGCGAAGGGGACGCTTCCCTGAAAGTGTAGGTGAGGGGGAATCATCATGGATTCTGAGATGGACGCCCGGGGTCCCAACAGCTGCTCACATGCTGAGGCTGCCCAGACTCTGAGCCGCACGGCCTGGGCATTCATCTCAGCCGAGCTGTGTGACCTTGGGCATGTAACGTAACCTCTCTGTGCCTCCACGTGCACATCTGAAAACCAGGATGACGGCAGCGCTTACGTCGCAGGGCGTTGTGAGGATTAAGTGGGAGCGAGTCCACATGAAACCTTTGAGTCTAACGGCACCTGGGAGACATGAGAGCTCAGTGCCAGGGCCTGCCGTTGCTGGCACCTGAGCTCCAGGACCTCCGCTAAGAGCGTCACACCTGTTCTCTCAGGTAATCCTCACAACAGCCTCATGAGGGGGCGGTCATCCTAGTGGTCTTGTTCACCAGGTGGGGCAAGTGAGGCTCTGAGAGGTTAAGCCCTGTCTTAACCCAGACAGGTCGCACCCCATTCTGAAGCCAAGACTCCCCCATCTGTGAGGCCTGTGGCTGTGACCCCCATCTGTCACAGTCATCTGTGTAATCGCGACCAACGCCCTGGATCTGCCAGAGCCCCGGGTCTTCACAGTGGGGTCAGGGAGCGCCTGCTCGTGGATGGACACACCGAGAAGCCCATACCATGATCTCCATGGAGCTCCAGCGCGATGTGCCCCAGTACATGGCCATCCCCTGGTTGATGACGTGGGTCATGGCACGGACGGTCTCTGTCACGAGAGAAGGGGAAACAGGAGGTGGGAGGGTGGCCGGGGGGCACAGGGCCCAGCCTGGGGACATTCTGCAAACAGGCGGGGCGCCGGGAGCAGGGAAGGGGTGCTGCGAAGATGGCTTGCAAGCAGTGTACTTCCTGGCTCCGAAGTCGGGTGTGGCAGGGGATCTCTGAGACGACAGAGAAAAGTGTCACCTCCGCCCTAGAAGCTGGCCTTGAAAACCATTTCCCCAAACAGTTACAGGTCTTACGGAAGCTTTGAATAATGGGTTATGGATAGACTGGGATGTTTCTGTGGCAGGTTAGAGGGATGAGGGGAGGTGAGACCCAATAATGTGACGCTAGACGCTGGAAGGCGGGGAGTTCTCTAGTCCGGGGAGAATCAGGGACCCTGGTCCTCAGGGAGAACCAGCTACGGGTTAAGGTTCCCCTGAGACTGGCAGGAGGCAACAGGCAGTCAACACAGTGTTTGCTGTCTCTGGTCGGCTACTTCGGGCCATTCCCAGTTCTCAGTGGGACCCGGGGAACTGAAGGGAGAGGTGACGATGGCATCTGTAGGGACAAAGGGCATGGCGTGGGGCCCTGGGGGGGTGTCCCAGAGTGGGGGCTGCAGGCTGGAGCTCTCCACATGTCCCAAAGGAGAGCCCAAAGGAGACATGGACAGCCCCGTTTGGGCCAGGTCCCAGCTTCTCAAGTCAGCCCCGCGCTAGGCTGGAGAGTGTGCCTCAGCAAGGAATGGTGGTGGCTTTGGCTTCCAGGACAACGGGGGTCAGTTTCCAGTGCTCTGGAAACAACCTGAGTACTGGGCAGCTGAGACTGGCAATGTCCTAAGAACGAAATGGCAGAAACCCCAGGCCTGCCTTTTAAGTAAGAGAAAAGGGAACCTCCCCCACCTACATAGCAGATTCTCCCTCGGACTCAGGAAAGGTTTTGAGAAATTAAAGTCTGCCAGCTATAGTTCCCTCCTAGGCTGTTTCCGCCTCATGGGAATGTTGTGGTGTTTAAAACAGCACTTGGCCTCCAATTTTTAAATTTCCAATGTCTCCTAGCTTTGCGGGGTGAGGACTCCCCTCAGGCTTCTCCAAGCCCCATACAGTGCTTGCAAGTTCAGCTGCCCGAGGCAGCGCGGGAAGTCGAGTTGAAGACCAAGTGTTTCTGAAACAAAGCACGACACTGACTCTTGCCGCAGGGGACCCTTAGTAGAAACCTAAGGTAGCTGGGGCTTCTGGGGTGGTGGCCTCAGAGGGCTTGCCCAGGACCCCTAAAAATCACAACTGGACTTCCATGCCTGCAGGCCGAGCCCTGCCCTCTGCTTCATTCCAAGGTCAAGACTGGGCTCCTCTCTGCTCATCTCAGGGAGTAGGGCTGGCTGGCAGGGGAGCCCGAACCCCTCTGGGACCACCAATGGGCCACTGCTTTAACTGCCAACACCATTTGACATGAAGGACAGCACCTGGTTGGAGAGGCCTGAGGGTCCCAGGAAGAGATCTTCCCACATCCACACCCTGAGCCCAGGCTCCCGGCCGGGCTCTCCTTGTTGGGTTCTTTAGAAACACTCTTGGGGGCACCTGCGACCATGCAGCGTAACTGCCGATTGTTTTCAGCCAAGGCTCAGGTCCACATGCTGGAGAGAGGGAGCCGGAGCGCACCCCCATTCACTAGCCTGGCTCCTTTGCACAGCTCTCTCCTAACGGGGGACCACACAGTGCACTGCAGCAACCCTTTCATGCAGAGAGGGGAGTGCACAGGGTCTGGGGGACAAGGTCACGGGTGGGGGCCTGCGAGAACCTGGGGCTGGTCTCTGAGGGAAGGGGGTCCTATGCAAAGGCTCTGGGATTCCCAAGGGTCCCGGGCGGTGGCAGGCTAGGCGTGGAGTCCATACACAGGAGAGTGGCACTCTGCACTTCTGCCCAAGCGTGATGTCAGTGGCCCCAGAAACAAGGACAACTGTCCTTCACCTCAATATTTAATGCTGTAGGACAGGAGCAGGGGGACCACATCCTTGCAGCTGCTGCCAAACCCCATGGCATCTCCTGCCATGTCACAAATAATACATGGGGGGGTCAGGTGGCAGTGCCAGTTGGCAGGCAGGAGCCCTGCCAATGTGGCACGCAGCCCGGTCCCAGGGGGACCTAGGCCTGCCTGCCCATGGGGTGGGGTCCTGGAGGCCCTGAGCTTAGGGGCGGGTAGAGATAAGCAGCGTCAGAGGCTGCTGGGTCCCGAGTCTCCCTGGCTCATGTAGGTATTCTTCAAGGGCGAGAATGATTCCGTTTCAGGGGAGAGGTCAGGTCACATGGCGAGGGGTGAGAGTGGCAGGTGGCCCAGCCCTCCCAGGGCACGTGAGCACCACATCAGCCAGGACACTCATGGAGGAACCGGTGGGCCTTGGATGGGCGGCTCACCCTGGGGTTCACTGCTTCTGGTTGGGGTAGGAGCTTAGCAAACAGGAACTACAGAGAAGATACAACTTGCCGGGGCCACGTGTGCTGGGGTCCCCGATGTGTTCGCTTCAGTGGGAACCTGGTCTCTCCCAGCCCATCCAGGGTCAAGGTTTCAGGCGCTGATCACAGCATCCCCAAATCAAGAGGCGGCCCCGGCAGACAGCCGGCCGGCCCCCAAGGGTCACAGCAATGCCAGGCGGGGCGGGAACATGCACACGGAAGGATGGACAGACGGGAGGGAGGGATTGACAGCGTGGCCTGGGCGGGGGCTCCTCCTTCACTTGCAAGATGTTCTCAGAGGGCACTTATTTTCCCTTATGCATTTTATGGAGAAGTTTGTCATCAGGGGGAGAGTTGTGTAAATAAAATCACTGTCTCATAAAATGCAGCTTGGACACAGAAGTCAATAGTCGGGCCGAGGGTACTGTGTACCTTCTATGATGAATGTCCTGGACTTGGAGGAACTAAATGGGTCCCCTGGTGATAAAAGAAAGATTTAAAGAGACCAGAGTTTATAGCTGTGGGAACATGGAGAGGCGCGGTATGACAAAGGGCACGGGAGGGAGGCACAAATCACTTTCCGCAGAATACTCGTTAAACACACACACACACACACACACACACACACACATTACACACACGCGCATGTGTGAAAGTATATACTAAACACATGAAAGAAATAACTTGAACGCAACTTAATTATTCAAGTCCCCAAAGCAGGAAAGCACAACCGGGAAGATGCCTGAGGCAGGAAGGTGGGGGAGATCGGAGGGGTGGAGATGGAGTCGGAAGAATAAGTGTGGCCTAAGAAACCCAAACCGCTGTCTTTTTCTGCGCCAAGTTAATAGTTTATCCCCCAGAGCAAAAGGCCTGTAACCTCCCAGTGGAAGGTGATTGAAAGGAAGGAAGAAGGTGCAGCTGAGTCATCATATTGTGACTGCATTGAGCTACAGCACATTAACTGCTGAGAGACCATTCCAGCAGTGCGAAACCCAGGGCGAGGAACCGGGTGTGGACCCAGCAGGGACGGGGCTCAGCCTGGAGGTGCAGGGCACACCTGGGGGGCGGGGGACGGCCATCAGAGCTGAGCTCAGGCCCTCCTCGCCTGCTCACCCCTGCTCTCCACCAGGAAGGCCTGGCCTTCCCCTCCCACCTGGCCTGGGTGCCCAGCCTGGGGGCCTGTGCTGGCGGCCATCAGAGCCTCAGGCTCAGAACCTCCTGGGAACGGCGCCAGGCCCGGCCAGCTGGTAGAGAACCTACCTTCCATGGGCGTGTTGGGGTCTGGGCGGTTGGCAAACACCACGTCCACATATTCCAGCTGTAGCCGCTCCAGGGAGGCCTTCAGACCTGGGGGAGCAAATCAGGGGGGCTGTCACCATCTTCACACACTTTTTTGGGCCCTCACCTGAGCCAATGACGAAAGGGACGAGGCCCCTGGCCCTGGGAATGAGTGCCACCTGGGGTTGCGGGAAGCCAGCATAAGAGTGGGAGCACCCCACCCAAGGGGGCTCTGCCTGTTCAGGAGGACTCGGTGGAGGGACACGCAGGCCCAGCGTCCTGCGGCTGAATGAAGGGGGCGCCCTCCTCGGCTTTCTGGTGGCCCCGGGATAACTGGGAGAGCTAGGTTAGCTGACGCGGAGGGAGAGCTGCACGTAGCGTTTATCACACCCAGGGCTGATGGTGTCTGAAACGCACAGATCGTGAACTCGTACATGGCAACGGTCCAGAACGGAGCTCAGAGTGCGGTGTTGGGGCTGTGGGATGGGGCGGGGCGGGCAGCAAGGCCTCCTAAGCGGCTCCCTGTTAGTGCGGGGAGTGTGTTACTTTGATGAACATGGATAGACGAGGCAGGACAGTACAGACATGATAAGCTGTTCCTGCTCCCTGCACTCCTGTGCTGAGCCCTGGGCTGTGGGCCCGACACCCACCGTCACCTGAGGTCTTCCTGGTTTCCAGTGACCCCAGGTGCTCTCACTGCGCCCATTGCACAGATGCTGCCTCAGAGGCCTGGGGAGCTGATGTCCCTCACTGACGGTCACCCAGCAGCACCGGAGGGAAGCCCAGGCCTGCCTGTGACCTCCCCCGAGACAACAAGGGTGACACTGGCCTGGCCCTGCCCAACCCCTGCCCCCTCCCTCATGACGTGGAGGGTCCACCCTGCGTGAGCCTGGGTGGGAGGAGAGGGTCAGAGCAGAGCCCTGGCTGTTCCCGGGCGAGGGGCCCTGCGCCCTATCACTGGTGGGGGGAAGGGCACTGTTTTCTTCACTTTTGCATCCAGGGAGGATGGCATGGGTTTAGGGGCTTGTGTGGAGCCAGAGCCCCCCTCACCTTCTATGATGTGCTTCCTGGAAAGACCCCTTTCAGTCTCCGCTCTGAAAAACAAGCTGACAGCATGAGTGATACTGCAGTTTGGGGGGAAATGCTTGTGATGCAATGTTAGGCAAAAAAAAAAAAAAAGGTAAGCACATGCCATGGGCTCACGCAGGCCGGGGGGAGGCCTGGGCTGTCCTGGGGGCCGCGTGGCTTCTGGTTTTCAATGTGCTCGTCCGCTTGGCTTGGATTGTTTGTTTTTTTAAGTTTAAGAATGTATCATATTTATACTTCCTATGAAGCCAATTTTGTCCAGCCCCAGAGAGAACATGGGGCCCGGCGCCTGGAGTGCTCTGTGGCCCGGGGAAGGTGGAGTGGTTTGGACAGTTCACGGATTTTCTGTTTTCCAGAATGTTTAAGATGTTACCTTTGTAATCAGAAAAAGTAACAGACCCACGAAAGTAAAAATAAAAATTTAACAGGGTTTGAGTAAAAGACAAACTCAGCGGAAGCGGCTGTTTTGGAACTCGGATGTGCCCTAACAGGGTGGGCACCAGCCGGGGCAGGCAGCTGCACAAATGCCAGCCCACTCCTGCTGCGGGCACCAAGGACAGGAAGCTGCCCTGGGCTCCCGGCCAAGGCTGGCCTGTCCAGGACAGACCCCATGCACCCTCTGCTTCCCCAGGACGACTGTCCTCCCCCTGCCCAGGGGTGTCGGCAGATGTGGGGCTGTGGCCGCTGGCCCTGACCCCTGCCGGGAGCGCCACCCACGGCTGCACCTACTTTCCTCCCCAGAAGATCTTGGTGGTGATGACCAGGCTGGATCGTCTGTGGACAGAAGAGAAGGAGGGGTGTTACTGGGCGTGGCCCCTTGGGGTGCTCCCACCTCCGACCGTCTTCAGCTCTCACACAGGGGTCCTAACACCCTTCTCATCTGCGAGCACGGTGGTAAAATGGGGCGCCTCTCTACGATTTGATGTTCGCAGTGGGCCGAGCCTGGGTCCTGGGGCTCCCTGTGGAGTCAGGAGACAACTCACAGGTGCAATTAACTAACCAGTTACATGACTACAACGAACTAAAGGTGTAACTCTAAGTCAGGCAGCGGGGGCCTGACAGACGAACCCAGAGGAGGGGGTGCAGTCGGTATTAGGTAGAGGAAGGTCTCGAGGAATGGGGGGGGTCAAGGCTCAGTATATAGGAAGCAGACTGAGGGAGTGGGGGGCAGAGACTGGGCGTCAGGTTAGGGCTGGCGGCCACACAGGGCTCTGGTGGGTGGCTTGACAAGCACTGACAGTGTTTCAGGAAACCTGGGTGTGGACAGCAGGCAGGGGCCGGGGGTGCACCGAGGGAGGGGGAGGTTGGGGCAGGGATAGGACCTGGGTCGTGAGGGGAGCTCAGTGATGCTGAGGCGAGTCTGGGCTGGGGCGTCTGAGAGCCAGGGGTGGTGGGGGAAGGGCATAGATTCCGTTCTCCCACTTTAAATCCACATGAGGCAAATACAGACCCCATGACTTCTCCTGGATGGGGGTGGGTACAGGGCTGGGGAGATAATGATGGCTGTTCCTGGCTTCATTTGCCCTTGACCCTTCCCAAGGGAGGGGTGAGAATGACGCCTCTGGTTGTGCCCCCCCCCACCGGCTGCTCAGGAAACAGCTCAGAGCCACAAGCACAGGCAGCTGGGGTCACCTCCAGGCAGGAGGGGTGACCTAATACAAGTCTCCGTGTGCTCACCTGAGGTTTAACCAGAGGACTTGCTCATGCATGCAACTGACTTTACTTAGAGAGTGAGAAGGAATTTATTTTGGTGTCAATTACAGCCAGGGAGGAACAACGTCGGCCAGAGGAGGGTGACCGTCACCCGCGTGGAAGCCTGATTCTGAGCGGCACTCGCCAGGGGCCTGGAGGGGCGGCCCAGCTTTATAATGGCTTCTGGTGCTCCTGAGAAGAAAGACGCTGGGGTCCCAGGGTGTGTCTGCCACTTCAGATGAAGCTGGGGTCTGGGGCTTGGGGGGCCCCAAAGTGCAGCAAGCCTCAGCCTGTCCTGTCCAAGGAGGGTGGGAACTGCCTGACAAGGGACCCCAGGCTCCTGCCCTGTTTCCTGGCGGGGAGTGGGGGGGGGTCAGCCCAGAGGGACACGGGGAAGGGGAGTCCTGTGGTGAAGATCAGTCTTAACAGCTGTCCCTTCCCAGGTGAGTGTGACACGTCCGTGTCCCTTCCCAGGTGAGTGTGACACGTCCGGCCCTGGGCTGGGCGGGGGTAGGGGGGTGTTTACAGACTTGGGCTGTTTGAGCCTCAGGACAGCCCTACCAGGGAAATCAAGACAGTGGTTGCTTTACAGGTGGGGACACGGGCTCCAGAGAGGCGGGACACTCGTCAAGCCCTGTGGACAGGGAAGAACAGTGGATTCCAGCCCCGGGGAAGGACTCTGCACCCCTCTCCTCCTGGCAGCACCCCTGATGTACGGGGGCCATCTGGGGAGTGCTCATGTCCAGCGCTTTCTGGCCTAACTCAAGTCAGCTTTGCAGCCCGGGACCCCGGCCTTCTGCATCGCGGCGGACAAGCTGGGTGACAGGTGGAGGGGCGGAGCTGGGGCGCCAGGGCCTCCACTCGACTCACTCTCAAGCAGACGCCCCCTGTCCTGGAGCACCGAATGGAGCACCCCACTTGGCGACTGACGCAGCGGAAGCTCCCTCGCCTCACCACAGCCCCTGGCTCCCCGGGCCGCCTGCCCTCCGTGAGAACCTCACTCCCTCTGGAGGAAGCACAGGGCTGCCTCCATTCTGGGACATTCTTCCCTTCCCAGCAAGAAATATTCTGGGGCTTCCAGGTCTTAGGAAGGGGGGCTGGCTGTACAAGGGCCGATGAAGCCAACCCTGGGCACTCCTCTGGCAAACCGGGACCCAAGCCAACGCTCGCCCTGGGCAGCCTGCCCACCCCATCCCAGACCCCAGAATGCATCTGCCCCTCACGGAGCCCTCCCTGCCACCTCCCCTCTCCAGGCTCCTCCTGTGTGTGTGCCCTGGACACCGACCACAGAGACAGCAGTCATTACCTCCATCCCTTCTTCTTAATGATGTTCCCTAAAACAGCTTCAGCTCTGCAAAAAAAAGACAGACACGGAGATTTCATTAAAGCGTAACAGAAACATCAAACCCCACTCCACCGTGACAATCGGCCATTCTGACCCCGCTGTGAAGATGCCACTGGGGCCAGAGAGCCAGGCTGTTAACGCCCGCCTTGGCTCAGGCAGCTCACTCCAGAGAGCCAGCCTGGGAGCGTCTGTGTTACTTCCCCACGGAGGTGGCCACGGGCATGTGGCCCCACAGGCCTTGTCTGAGGCTCTCAGACGAGGAGGGAGCCCAAGTCCTCCTGGCCTGCTGCAAACTCACCGGGGAAAAGGCAGCACCACGTGGGTGAAGTTTCAAGGCAAGTATGTTTTTGTTTTTGTTTGTTTGTTTTTTAGCTGAGCCATCCTGCTACCTGTTGGCAGCTCAGCGGCTGCTCAGCTTGGGCTGGACTCGAACCGCTGTTGCTCAGAGCTCAAACTCTTGAGCGAGCTCTTAACCAACTGAGCCTCTCGGCCAGCCCAAGGCAAGTATGTTTTTGAAAGGTAAATTATTCATCTGTTTTCGGAGACAATGAACATGTATTCAGGGCAGGGGCTGCATCTGCAGCAGAGGGTGTGCGTGTGTGCCCATGTCCCTCTGGTTTCTTGCTTTTGGACAATAGACAGACAGATGCCATGCTGACTGCTGTCTGTTCTGTTTGGCGTCACTCTGGGCCCTGCACCAAACTCGCTGGGGCCAGCCGGAGTCATGGGTGAGCTGGTCCAGCCTCACTTGGCACTGCAGTGCTCGATTTTTAACTTTTGAACGTTTAGCTTTTAAGAACTTTTTGCGTGTAGCAAAATGTTTCTGAGGGGAAACAACGGAGAGAGAGTGATCCACACTCAGTGCCACATTCAATTATAACAGTGTCTGAATCATCCACTCGGAAACAACGGGCTCTAATTTGCAAGCTGTTTAGAATACGTTCTGAATGCTCTTGTCCTTGGTCAGGATGCGTAGACATTCACTCAGCCCTGGCCCTCTTCCTTTTATTCCCTGGTCCCTTACTTGTGGGACAAAGGACCAGGGAAGGAGGAGGAGAGAAAAGCAAGCCGTGGTCCTGAGGTTACAGGAGCCGTAGACAGAGTTAACCAAAGCCTATTGCTGGTGGTCGTGGATTCTCATGGCTGTGGATTTGGTGAGGCTGGCACCTGTCCAGGGGGACACAAATCCTGCAGCTCTCTGGGAAGCGTCCAAATTAGCGTCAGCATGAGAAGCAGGGCGACTCAGCAAGCTTTGTGGTTGGCACCCTGGTTGGTGCGAGGGACAGTGCCTGGCCCACCACTGCTGGAGCTGCCTGGCGGCTCTGTGCCCTGAGCAGCTTCTGTCTGCCTGTCCCTTGGCACACAGTGTGGGTGACTGCTGGCACCGAGGCATCAATGGGGGTGAGGAGACAGCTACAGAAGCTGGAGAGGAGTGGTGGGCAGGATGAGGGCAGTGGGTTCCAAGGGCAACAACCCACAAGGCCGCTCCCCGATTCCTGGGCTCCTGGCAAGGGGATTCCAAGATGCCCCGAGGCTGTCCAGGACCCAGTGTGCTTGTCCTAGCAAGCCAGCCCTCGGTGTCCCTTAATCAGGAGGAAGTGAAGAAAGTGACACAGAGAGTGTGGCTGCGGTGAATTGGAGTGTGCTGGGCCCGTGCACAGGGAGCTGCACAGAGCTGCCTCCCGCACGCCCTTGTGGGCGCAGTGCCAGGGCACAGGCTGGGGCGCTCACAGCGGGATGGGGGGAGGGCGCCTGTGGCTTTGCACCAGGCTTCTCCACCTCTGACCTTTGTTGGGATCACCTGTCTGGAAAGCGGTTTGCTTTGATGGGAAGCAGCTGCCAGTTTGGAGGGGTTGGGAGGGGCTGTGGTGTCAGGCGGGGCCGAGGGCTGATGATGTAGGTTAGAGGAGATTTGGGGGTCCCAGTGGAGGCCCCCAGGGCTGTCAGGACCCTGGGTGAGGACTTGAGCAGAGGCCCAGCTGGGTTCCCTGATGTGGGCCCCATGCAGGCTGCAGGCGCTGACCCAGAGCCTGGCGAGGCAGGTGCTGGCCCGCAGCCGCGGTGCATAGCAGGCCAGGCTGCAGCCAGCCCAGCTGAAGGGAACCTGGCTCGCCCCAGGCAGGAGGGGCCAGAGGGAGGAGGAAAGACAGCCAACAGATGACTTCACTAACAAAGCTGCGTTTTGGAAACCTGATGCAGGAGAGTGGATGATTTGATTACAGCCCGTCTTTAAAATTGAAGCCAGCAGCCTTGGCTGAGGAGGGCTTTTACATAATTGAGTAGCAAAGCTCATGGCCAAATAGGAAGTGCTTCCTACAGCGCTCGGCTCGCAGGACCCCACTCTCTCCAGCTCCAGAGGCCCCGATTCTCTGCAGCCCTAATTGCACCATTAAGACGTGAAAATGTCAGGTGTGTGGGGCTGGCCGCAGGTCACGGGCACGGCAGGAGAGCCCCGGATGACAGCTTAATCGCAGCCCTGCACAGCACCTCGGGCACCAGAGGGGCTGAGGTCATCTCGGTGCATGGACACAGGGGGAGTTTGGCAAGTGACCAGTGTCCAAGTGTGCTACGATTCTGGCCCCATGAAAACCACGTGTCCTCGAGCCATTCAGAGTTTAGAAAAGCGGGCAGAGTGGGAGGGGTGAACCATCTGGGGACGCAGAGCCACAGGACAAGCTTAGGCTCTTCCCAGGGGAGCCATGGCTTTTTCCCACGAGAAAAGACACGACGTACTTGCCCGCCGCGTAGACTTCTGCGGTATCGAAGAGGTTGATGCCGTTGTCGTAGGCCAAGGTCATGAGCTGCTCTGCCATCTGAAATGAGAAAACCATGGCAGCTCTCAGGCGGCACTGTCCTGTCAGCCCAGGGGCAGTGCCCAGAGGCCCAGGACCTGCACTGGGGCTCCCCTTGGCCTCTTCTGCCACAGGGTGGACAGGCATGGAGGCAGCACTCAGGGAGAGGCCCGCAGAGAAGAGAGAAGACAAAACAAAGGAAGAAACAGCCTATGGGCTGTGAATTTCTTTCGAGCAGGGACCCCATCTGTTGGGTCCTCATAGGGCTTTGCACCTGTACTGGGTTGAATAGTATCTTTTCATGTCTATCCAGAGCTTCAGAATGTGACCTGATTTGGGTGTGGGGCTTTGTAGATGTCATTAGCTTATTTAAGTTGAGGTCACACTGCTTTGGGGTGGACCCTAAATCCATCATTGAGGGGTGTCTGTATAAGAACAGACACAGACATCCAGGGAAGAGGCCATGGGGAGACGGAGCAGAACGGGGGTGATGTGTCTACAAGCCAGCGCCCCCGGTGGAGCTGGGAGGGATGGAACCGCCCCTTCAGAGCCTGGGCGGGAACGCAGCCCTGCACACACCTTGATTTTGCATTTCTGGCATCCAGAACTGTGAGAGAATAAACTTCTGTTTTTAAGCCACGCAGCTGTGGGACTTTCTTAGGCAGTCCAGGGAAACTAATGGCCACAACAGGAGTGCACTAGCTCTTGGCAGAATAAATATTTTAAAGCTACGGCTAGAGTGCATCCTATGACGCGGTAGCCCGCCGAATCCTCCCCAGCAACCGCATGAGGACGAGATTATTCTTGTTTGCAGCTGGGGGACCTGCCATCCTCAGCTAGCACTCTGGCCTTGGCCCTGTTCTCTGATGCCTTGTAGGCAGGGGCTGATGACTGGCAACCGACTGGTAATGGGGGTGAAGACAGAGGATCAGGGGAAGACAGCCTGCAATTGACAGCTCCCTCCCAGATGTAGTAAAG